CATCTAAAACAATCAAAGACTTAATCAATAAAAAAACAAAACAAGCCAAAAGTTGAACAAGGAATTTACTCTATCTAGTACAGGAATTGCCAGAATGGATACATTGGAGAAGCCTAAAGAAACTTAAACAAATGAGGGCAAAAAGGAAATATTAAAAAACAACACAAAACGTATTAGGTGTTCACCACAATTTTAACATAGGCAATACTACTTTGATTAAAAGAGAATATAATCCGCTAAGATTCAAATGTCTGTAAAATGCCTTGATCGCTAGTTCAGCCACGGTAAATTTGCGTCCAGGCACTTACAATATATCACTATTCTTGGTAGATTATTTGCTGTCAAAATGTGGAACAATCAGGGACGAGAGAGAGAGAGAGAGAGAGAGAATACAGACGATTTTGACTAGATTTGAAAACTTTTCTCGTTTCGTGCGCATGAGTAGACTTGACAGCATCAACAAATCCCAATCTGACGAAATCCTAATGGATGAAACGCGTCACGTAAATTTTTTCCCAATTTGATATTATATTTTTGTCAATACTGTTTGTTGAGACATGAAATTATACAAAATAATATATCGTTCATTTTTTTATATATATATATATATATATATATATATATATATATATATATATATATACCTGACGATTCGCGTAGGTGAAATCTAGATAGGTTTGCTTGGCTCTTTAGGTTCATAGTTAGATATGCTCTACTTAGTGTATTAAGCACTTAGCTTACTTATTTTTGCTTTAATCGTGTTGGAGTTTTTTTTTTAGACTCTGAGCTTGGATTCTGGACGATTGGTTTCGCCTGAATTACATGTTCTTAGTTCTTTCTTTTTTATTCTGTATTTTTCCTTGGATATTGGTTTGTTCATTCACAAGCCAAAACACCTAAGTTTTTTCCGGTCGAGTATAATTACTTATATTTATAAGATTATATATATATATATATATATATATATATAGTGACAGTAAGGTTAACCTTTTACAAATTCCAGGGTACACTCGAGGTAGAGTGTTAAGTTAGGAGGCTATTTGGTGTGTATAGGAGTAGGAGGTAATGTTTAACCCAAGCTTTGAACGCATATAAATTGTAGTGTCCAGGGAAACATCCTGTTGGGAGTCGGTTCCACAGGGCAGTGGTATGGAGGAAGAAACTACTCGAGTGTAACCTACTTCTCACCAATGGAATACGGAGGGAATGTCGTTGGTTTGCTACTATGTAAGTGGCATGGCGTGTTCTTGCTGTAGAGGTTGGCAAGGGAATATAGATCGTCCGAGTACTTTCCGTGGAAGTAGCGGGAGAGCAGCGAGAAGCTTCCGTCCTTGAGAGAGTGGTTGAAGAGTAGAGAATAATTTGTTACCCACAAGAGCTCGAATACGCTTTTGGGCTCTATTAATGGTGGAGAGTGAGGTCTAGGCAGCTTCCACATAAATATGACAACAGCACTCAATTTGTGGCTTGATCTAGTGCTCGTAAGTTCGGAGCATAGCAGGAGGAGACGTACTTATTGAAACGGTACAAGGAGTCAACCATTTTACCTGCATCCTTAGTAATTTATCGTATTTACGAGTTCAACTTGAGGCTGGTTGTGAATTTGAAGCCAAACAGTTTTTCAAGGCACAGTGATTCTCCGAGATAACTTCCGTTCATCCTGATTGCTGGTAGTTTGTGGTCGGATCGGTGATAATGAAATGTATATAGCTTGGACTTTGAGACTGTGAACCTAAGCAGCCATTATTTTTTTTTTTTTTTTTTTTACCTGACTGGGTAGATTGTGTAAAGTCGGAAGAATACTTACACTAATCCCTAGTCATCGAAATTTTTAAAGTTGCACTCGTTTTTAACCATGCTTGAGTGTGAGGCTATCAGCAGCCGAGCAATCAAAACACGTTTGTTTAAACTGTGTCATCTTCTGGAAAGAGGATCGTGGTTTTCATCAGTACTATTACGCGAGGGTGCATAGCTCTAGTCGAAATAAACACTGTTTCAAAAAAAGTGTGGCTACTTAAATATGGGTATCTAGAAAGAATATAGTTATAAGGTATGCTATATTTCTCGGTAACACTGCTTAATGTCAGAGATAGATAATTTTAATTTAAAAATGAACACTCAGATCAACACAGAGTACCGACATTTATGCTTGAATGTTTCAAGTAATCATCAAGCTTTGTATGTCTATGTACCTATCTCTCTCTTCCCCCACCCCTCTCTCTCTCTCTCTCTATGTATATATATATATATATATATATATATATATATATATATATATATATATATATATATAGTAAGAATAAAATCTGATAAAAGCTTAAAATCTAAAATAAACTAAGGATTAAATTGTTCCAACAGGTTATTCCTGCAATTAAAAATCTGAGTACCGGATTTGCTATAATAATAATAATAATAATAATAATATAATAATAATAATATATATATATATATATATATATATATATATTTAATATATATATATATACTGGTATAAATTATAATTAAATGATAAATATAAATTGTTTTTATTGACTGGTAAATTGTAATTAAATACAAAAGATATATATATATATATATATATATATATATATATATATATATATATGCTAGGAGACAGTGCGAATGCAAGGAAGAGAGAGATGGAGGGAGAAAAGATTGTCTGAAATTGTCTTTAAATTATCCTCCCCGTGCCAACTTTGTACTTAACAATATTCGAAAATCTGTCGCCGGTGGGAAATAACCAGAGATCTCTCGGTAATTAAAAGCACAAAACTAGTGAATGATCTGCGAAACGAACTTGTTAATCATCATTCATTGGCAAGCATTTTATTACGATTAATTCATTCCATCACACGGCCAACAGAGTGAAGAACACTTTGAGGGCTGATATCACCATACGATCACATGTGCTTTCGATAAAGTCTGGCTCACCGGTGAGCTGAGTAGAGGTATTAACTGAATAGTAACTTATTTGCTACCTGGATAACGCTAGAAAATAACCCCCTGCTGAGCACTAACTTTCTCTTGAAATTTGTCATACAGTATGTCCCAAAAATAAATAAATAAATCTATCACACCACGTTCATCTATTTGTCTGTCCGTCTCTATATCTGTCTATCACAAAACGTTCATCTATATATCTAGCTAACTGGTGATTGCAAACACTACTAAGGGAGCAGCTCTATTAGAAAAGTTGATATTGTGATTTGAAAGAGGCTCTGTTCTTTCAAATCCCCTGTCAATACATACTTGAAATCTTTCCCTTGTCAATTCATAAATGTAGAAAATATGCCATGGTGTTGACCGGGCTGGAGGTCAGATGGGGAGTTTTTGAGAGTATAATATTAGTCATGTTTTTTCTCGTAAAACGGGGAATATATGTATATATATATTTATATATATATATTTTTATGTTTAACGTTCTTTTTTATAGATACAAGATTTAAGTAAATGCTCTGTTTATAATAAACAGTATTAAATAACATTTCTCTCAGACATTCAGGCCGGTAAATGTTATTTAATACTGTTTCTAAACAGAGCATTTACTTAAATACTTGTATCTATAAAAAAACGTTAAATATAAAATTGTCATTTTGTCCATTTCTTAATATATATATATATATATATATATATATATATATATATATATATATATATATATATATATATATACACGTAATGCCCCATTGCTTATCATGTCTAAATAGTCAAGCTAAAACATGAGATTATGTTCAACCAGTAAACATAATGTTAGCGTTAGGCTTTCACTTTTATATTTACTTAAGCTCATTCCCTGATATTCAGCATTTAGCCATAAATATAACATACGTTAAACTTTAATTTTATCAAACACTCTCTCTCTTCTCTCACACAAACACACACACACATATATATATATATATATATATATATATATATATATATATATATATATATATATATATATATATATATATATATATATATATATATATATATAAAGGTCTAGTTGTGTCTTTATTCGTCACCGAGGCCTGTGGTATTGTTGATATGACGTCGCGTTGCATGGAAATGATTCGGGTTCGATTCTCGGTAGGGGATGCGCACTGCTGATGAGTCCCAAATAGGACGAAATGGCCGTCCAGTGTTTTCTGCATTCTGTTGAAGATTATTCTGGGCTAGATATGTTTACTCTAAATCCCGCAAAATTTCTTGACTTGTATATCCTTGCTTGACCCATCTAATACTCGTGAGGAGCGGCTAAGGTCAGTAAACAGACGTGGCTTTTGCGGCACTGTTCCGAGGTTATCCGTATACTTGGATGTGTATCAATGAGGAACTAAATGAGTAGCGGCGCTATATCGCGTCTAGTTTGTGTCATCTTTGTCACAGAGGCCTGGGCAGTTGGTATGACTTTTGCGTTGTATCGAGATAGTCCGGGTTCGATTCTCGGTAGCGGATGCGCACTGGTGATCAGTCCCAAATTGGACGAAACGGCCATCATGTATATACGGTTCCTAATATCCAATTATTTGATTTGAGCACATTAATATATATATATATATATATATATATATATATATATATATATATATATGCTGTACCTCCGTGATAATGAAACAAGAACAGTGCTCAATAAATGATAAAAGTAAAGTATTAAAATTTATACTAATAATATGCATTTAATTAGCATACTGAAGAACAAAATATATATTTATTATTAGTATAATATAAAAAACACACGCGCACACACACACACACACATATATATATATATAAGTGCGTTTGTCTTTATGTGTTTATGTTCATGTGTGTGCATCTATATGTGAGTGTGTGCGTATGTGTTTTTATATTATACTACTAATAAATATATTTTATTCTTCAGTATGCCAATAAAAAGCATATTATCATATATATATATATATATATATATATATATATATATATATATATTAATGGGGTTATTTTGAATCCGACAATATTATTACATATATAATGGATAATGACAGTTTATTTGGAAATATTTCTATTTGGAAATATTTGGAAGAACAGGCGTCAAATGCAACAGATATACATTTTTCTGATGGCACCCATTAAACAATATGAAAGTAAGCATTATACAACACTCTATTCTGTATCAAATCAGGCAAAGATCTCGCCGATTTTCTGGAAATCTGTATTTGTCAATATTTGCCTTGTAGATTATTAACATTCTGACTCAATTGTTTTTGCTTTCATTGCATCAATAGCTTGATATAAACCATCCTGTAAATTCGATTGGATGCTGAGTTGTTTCGGTGCCCGGAACACTACCCAGTCCTCACAAGTCATTACTTTCCATTGGTTGGTGCGTGGGGGACATCAATGATCTTGATTTTCGCGAAACGCCGCGCGCCATTCAGAAATTAATGGCTCAGATCGCTGCCAAATTTAGAGGAAATTCTTATCAAATTCGACAACCGAGTGTCCCACTTTGTTCCTGCTCGTTTTAATTTTCGAATTGGTCACGAAAGAGGGTAGGTTAAACATTTCCTTAATAATTTTCTCTTGAAATAATATTTAGTTAAATATTTAATTCCCATGATTTGAATCTTCTTGTACGCTGTAATGCGGATAGCAATCAATCAACTGCTTTAAGACAGCCACTTTATCTTCTGATCCCACATGGCGCATGCGCATGAACTCTCTCACACACGCACGAACACATACACTATGAAAAAATAAACAATAAATACACCGATAAAATGTGCATATAAATAAGAAGACTAGTGAACTATAAATAGTCAATTGTTGATACTCACTGACAAGTGGACAGAATGATCATGTATGTTCCATCTACGAAAAAAAGAATTGGGATGCTGAAAGTAACATCAATCAGCTAAGTGACTAACCTTTTACTTGTATTAATTATATATATGTGAATTAAAGACCATTCGGAAATATATATCAATCTAATATGTATCACTTTTAATATAGCTTAGTCAGAGATTGAGAGAAAACAGATAAATGACAGAAACTATTTTCAATTTTTCTTTGGGTCTGTTCTCATTGGTCACTCACGCATCTACGAACACAAGAGAGATTTGCATTTAGACAAACGATCTAACTCTCGCATTGCATCGAAACAATATTCGACATAACTTTGATTTCACTAAAGCCACCCTAGTTAAAAAAGGAAGATACTTCTTTAAGGAGAAAATACATCGAAAACTTAATAACATTATTATCAACTATGAACACACGCTTAAAATATTGCATTACATTCTTTCTTTGAATCAATTCTTAAAGAATCTCACTTAAATCTATCTAATAGAAAGAACACATGTTTCAAGAAATCAGCCACAGATGAGAATGTAGTGACACCAATTTCCATTGGACAATATTGATGTCGATCGAGAGGGGAAATATATTTAGGGTTTTTTTCATCGGTGGCAATGCCACTCATGGGCTGAAACAGCCAGTGGACAATCGGCATGGTTTTTGACAACGACCACACTAGTAGAACACTGCGTAGTCCTGCACAGTGGGACATTTGCCTCTTTGTCTAGACTCTACGGCGCTGGTCTCAATTCTTTTCATGTTTATTTGCTCTTGGGAAAACAGCAGTTCTCCACCAAACTCAATCTCAGGCAACCGCGCAAAATTGATTGTAAATTCCTTCGTGGACGTTTTACACTGGTACTTGAAGACAAGCTTGAGTTGTCCAACATTATGCACGCCCTCAGACAGTTCTCCATAGAGTATCTGTTTGGGAATTCTGAAGTTATCCATGCGCGCAAAGTGCCCAAGCCACATGAGACGCGACGACTGCAAGATGGGATATTGTGACTGAATGCTAGCTCTATTGAGCACTTTTTTTCATCCAGGAGCCTCTCTTATTTAATTTTAAAAAATATTTTAAATATCTATCTAGCCTTCTCCCTTGATCAGCATACGAGGCCCATGTCTCACTACCATAAAGGAGTTTTGAGAGAACCTGTGTTTGGTAAATTAGAGTTATGGGGGGTCACTTTTCTACGTTCTTTTCATAAGATTCTTTAATGCAGTTGAGTGTTTTCCTATTGTTTTTGTCATTTCCTCATTCATAGATGTAGAATAACAATGTAATAAACAGTACTTACCGGCGTAAGGGTCCCAGCTAGCCTCCAGCTGGCAGACAAAAATAAAGCAGGTTGTAACTCAATGCAAACCCTGCAAACTGACTGGAATCAAGCTGGTATTTATACAGAAATACCTCCACTCATGTACCAGCAGCCAATCATAGCCCAAGCAATGGACTATCTCACTTGAGCACAATGAGATGCTCCATGGCAACATAAATAGCTCTCTTTCTCAAGGGGGAGTGTTCATTCACTCAGCTTGTGAACTTCTGAAATTCCAATAGGTATGCTGATCGACCACACAAGAATATTTCAAACAGCAAATCCAATGCTATAAGGTTGTCGGCATTTATCGTCTTTCTAGAAAGCTTGTCGGCATTTAGGCTTTTCTAGAAAGCTTGTCAGCATTTAGTTCTTTCTAGAAAGCTTGTCAGCATTTAGTTCTTTCTAGAAAGCTTGTCGGTATTTAGGCCTTTCTAGAAAAAAAAGTATAATTTTCCTTTGTGAGAGATCCACCACCCGCTATACGAGTCACTTGCAGGAAACAATGTCAGGACTCAGACGTGATAGCTCCCTATCAATAAAAGCCGCTTTCCGGATATGGTCGTGTGACATGTCCATATTATCAATACCTCTCTGCATTGTACGGACGTTCCAAGTTCCAGGCCGGCAGCAACTTTTTGTTTTTCTTTTTCTTACGACCAAGTTTAGCATGAAGACTTTCAACTTTTATCTCTCCTTCTTTACAGCAGCGAATATTGGACGATTTCCTCAAAGATGAAGAAGAGACCCGAGTCGACTGAGATGTGGTTCTACAGAAGAATGCTAAGGATATCATGGACCGAGCTTGTGACCAACGATGAGCTCTTAGTGAGGATGCAAACAAGAAGGAGGATTATACTTAAAATCAGGGAAAGGCAGCTGAAGTTTCTGAGACATGTAATGAGGAAGGAGGGATTGAAGAATCTGATACTCATGGGTCGAACATAGGGTAAATGAGACAAGGGAAAACAACGCATTACATACCTAGGGGGCTTAAGAGGGTTGATGACGGAACGTGGTCTGTAGGAGATAGCAGAGGGAAGGAAATTGTTGCGAGCTGCAAGGGATAGCGGGAGGTGGAGAGCCATGATCGCCTACGCCCTGAAAGAACATAGCACATAAAAAGAAAGAAGATCCCTAAATGAAGCGGCCCTGACGTACCTATTTTCCAGGTGTTACCAGGATTAAGCGATCTTAAACAATCAATATGACTGAATAGAGATCCCACTGTCGAGTGTGTTCCTTTGACGCCCCTAGTGGAGGCCACTTTTGTAGGGGGAAGCTTATAACCGGTAACTGCCACAACACCTGTTTTTTTGTTTTATTTTATTTTATTTTTTTTTTGTCGTTCATTTTCACAGTGACCGACGAAGTGTCCTTTACCCTTTTGACTCGTGTCCGTAAGATCGCGGTTTCCGCGGAGCCTGCTTTTCTGTTTTAGAAGCAAATGCTCCACCCAAATAACACTCACTCCTTCTCCATTCACATGAAGAATTCGCGAAGGAAAGACAAGTCATTATCTATGGAGTCACAGGGGATATCGAATATTTGACAAGTTTGAACAGTAGCCGCCTAAGGGTTCCTCCTTCCTGATTTGTGTGAGGTTTACTCCCCCAAACTTTCACAAATCATTGAGATCGCAAGGCGGTGGGCATGGCACCACGGATGCTTATTTTTATATTGGCAGCTAACCATCATATCTGAAAGTACATTACTTTCAAAAATGTATTACTAGTAATTTTTGTTTGGTGGTGGGGGTGTCATACTTGCCCAGATTTGGGACACTAACAAGCGCTACGACACCGAGCCAAGGTAGACGTGGTAACAACAGTAATTAAAATATTCGTTCCAGATTCCACAAAACCCCTAATCTCCGGATCAGCTGCCGGGTGTAGTTTATCTTCATGGACAACTGCCGATCTCTCATAAAATCCTGCCCGTGACTGCACCCTGGAGAAGGCACTTCAGCGTCGCTTCACAAAACACGGTAAGTAACAGTTTACCAGCTATAAGACAAAAGTTTACTAACAATACATTAAAAAAAATATTACCAGCAATACCCAATTGGTGTTTAGCAAGATACCAGTGTTGCCTTCAACGTACGGAGAGATCATTGGGCCTCACTGGACAGCTACCGCCCGCGTTAAGCTGGGCAGCACCCAGCCAATATGGTGCTGTCCCGCCATAGTCCACTTTACTAGGTATGTAGGGCTTAGGGATATAATTATCCTGAGTAGCGGTTTTCAAATGGATCTTGGAACGAACGGACTATAAAAACTGGTTTATTAGATGATCTTGGAGGGATTAACGACACCCGCAAACCAGCAGTGATTACCAGCGATCAAAGAAAATACAGACTGTCGCAAAAGAGGAACAGATGTTATTACTAGATGAATTTCAGGTTGCGCTAATGAAATATTATGTAAAACTTATTTTTTTCCCACAATTTCGAGTACAATAATCATCACCTTTTTTGAAAATTGGAAAAATGCATTAAAAAATTATGTAGACACAACCTGTCGTTTCTTTTTAATCAAACTTGATTCGATGCATATATATATATATATATATATATATATATATATATATGTGTGTGTGTGTGTGTGTGTGTGTGTGTGTGTGTGTGTGTGTGTGTGTGTGTGAATAAGGGAGACTGAATCGCAAGAAAATCCTAAAAGCTTAAAAAAATCTTTGTCTGGAGGCGCGATATTTAATGTGAGAAAGTGAATTAAATTTTCGTAAATAGCTAAAAGGCTGCTGAGAAAAATTAATTTCGTTTTTATAAAGTGACGACAGACTTGAAGCTATGCACATAGCCTCAGAATAAGTCTGGCGGACAAAAAAAAAAAATGGCTGGTCTTAAAATATAATAATATGACGGCACAGCCAAAAGAATACCAAAATAAATACTGCCGCCTTTTGGACTTCATTTCGAATTTCCAACATAGATTCCTTCTCCTTTCACAGTCGATGTATATTCCACTTTTGAATGAAAGCATGTCTGTTTGTTTAAGCCATGTAAGAGTTGTCACTTTTTCCTTCATCACAGGAGGAGTGTTTCCGTTGAGACCTAAACAGATGCAATTTGGGGTCGTCAAAATTTTAGCTTGGATTTGACAAGATTATCCAGTCATGACTTTAGGTTTCTTACCTTGTGTTTAGCTTCTTTTTGGGTTAACACTATTATGTTACTGTTGGGGTGTCCTCCCTCTAAAGAGTCTACGTTGGACTCTTCCGCCTACTATAAGATTAGTAGGAGAGGAGCTGCCACTAAGATGTCTGTCACTAAACTCAGTTTCTAATTATTTTGATTACCATTAACTCAATAAACACTTTTCTCAGACATATGTACAGCATGTACACACTTGCTTTATGGAAATGCATCATGTGATTGTTGGAGGCGTTTTATCCTTTCAAAAATACGAAATCTATGAGAGTCCTTGGTTTTTTACGGGTATAGTGAATGGCTGGTATTTGAAAGATATTTATGAATAGAAAAGTCTCAGTGGGTGCCCCATATTTTTGGTCTTGTGTCACATCTAAGCTTCGCTTATAAGTCAACATAAATGTATACTCTTTTTTGACGATATTTTATATTTTAGCGATGAAAATCCACTAAGAATTTTGATACTTTTATGATAAAATTGAATATGTGTTACAGTTTGACTAACTCACGTATATACGAGTGGGTGTTAAGATAAATATGACCTTTATTATCAATGTCATTTTGAACTGATAAGCAACCCGTTAATATGTGAAATAACCTTAATAGCATACTGAGTGTTAATATGTTAATAATAATAATAATAATAAATAATAATAATAATAATACCGGGTTTAACAGCAAAATTATACAAATGCTGTAAAAGCAAATCTTCCAACTGTTAGATTAAGATTTGAATTGTTGTATCTGAGAAATAATTAAAGATATCTTACTGGAATTCTCCGAGGTTTTTATAACAATCTCCTACTTAGAAAAATAAGAATTTAATTATAAGCAATAAGAATTGATGTAATCGATCATAAACGAAAAATGACATGTTCATCATTAATTAATCATATAAATGAAGGATTATATATATATATATATATATATATATATATATATATATATATATATATATATATATATATATATATATATATATATATATAAAAGACATTTTTATGTTTAATTTTTTTTATAGATAAGTATTTAAGTAAATTCGCTAAATTCCAATTCGGTCAAGGCACGTCAGCGTAAATGACGGTTCCGTTTAGGATCGAATCCTGTCAAAGGACAAATATTTTCTATGAAAATTTCTCGACATTCAGGCCGGTAAATGTTATTTAATACTGTTTCTTATAAACAGAGCATTTACTTAAATACTTGTATCTATAAAAAAGAACGTTAAACATAAAAATGTCTTTAATAAATAAATTGTCGGACTTTGTCCATTTCTTAATATGTATATATATATATATATATATAATTCCAGGATCATTTTCAAGCTTATTGAAGATGAACTTTACCCTCGTTTACGTTCTAACTTTCTGTTCTGTAGTAACAAGATGTCCCACAAGTTTCCCGTACGGTTTCTTTTTCAAGAGTTCTTTTACTGCCCTTTGTCTGGCATTTCGGAAACTCCTCTCTCACGTGCCAAAAGTTTTCTGAATTGAAGTGTATCTTTTCTAATTTAAATTTTTATCTCTAAGTTGAAATGATGATCCCTCTTCCTGATGTAACCTTCTGATCCAGTTTTTCTGTCAATATATTCGTCTTCTTAAAATTATTCACGGTTATTCTTGAATGGAAATTGTAGATGGAATCCGATGTATGAATGTTGGTAGCATTATTGAAGGCCTGAATGGTTTCCCCTCTTAGCGTTGCTCAGTTGAAAAGACAGTAGTCCTGGCACAAAACGATTTTAACCTGTTATATTTCAAGCTGAATAATTCAAAGGGTTTTCCAGTGATACATACGACAAATTGTATCAAGGTGGCTGAAGGTGTTATCTAAAAACCTGTAAAAAATAAACTGAATTGTTTAAGTGTTTTTTAGATATTAAACATTTTGTGAGATGGACGAATAGATGTAACACGATATGATTCCATTATTATTATTATTATTATTATTATTATTATCGTATATATATATATATATATATATATATATATATATATATATATATATATATATATATATATATATATATATTGATTCTTTTTTACATATTCATAACTGTTTTTTTTTTTTTTTTTTTTTCCGTGGTGGTAGCTACCTGGGGCTGGTCCTCTTGCTAGGGGATCATAGTCACCAGTCGGGTGTATAAAAAGTGGGGACAATTTTAAAAAGAAACAGTTCTAAGGGTTTGATAACCGGTTGAAACCCACAAAAAC